TAAAAGTTGGAACAGAATAATAGTGTGGACAGCCAAAGGTTTTGATGTGTGGGAGCTGGATTTTTTTTTTTTTTGAGACAGAGCCTCGCCCTCTTTGTGCAGGCTGAAGTGTAATGGTGCAATCTCGTCTCACTGCAACCTCTGCCTCCTGAGTTCAAGCAATTCTTCTGCCTCAGCCTCCCAAGTAGCTGCGATTACAGGCAGGTGCCACCAGGCCTAGCTAATGTTTATATTTTTAGTAGACATGGGGTTTCAGCACGTTGGTCAAACTGGTCTCGAACTCCTGACCTCAAGTTATCCACTTCCCCCAACTTCCCAAATTTCTGGGATTATAGGTGTGAGCCACCACACCAGCCTAATTTTTGTATTTTTAGTGGAGATGGGGTTTCACCATGTTGGTCAGGTTGATCTCCAACTCCTGGCCTCAAGTGATACACCTGCTCAGCCTTCCAAAGTTCTGGGACTTTACATGTAAGCCACCATGCCTGGCCTGAGCTGGACTTTTTGAGGGAGAACTGGTTTTGAGTTTTCAAGGGGTTTAGTCTCTAAAGACTCAGGACATTGGTGCAAGAGCAGGTGGATGGCGGGTTTTCCACCTCCAGGCATTCCCCTCCCACGACCCCTCCAAGGAGACCAGACAGAGTTCACCCAGGACTAGGGCAGAGGCAGGACCAGAGAGGAGAGACAGAGCCAGGCAGCCATTGGCTCCTGAAAGAGGCCTCTCCCCTAGGCTGAGTCCTGGTCTGGGGAGATGACAGACCCCTCCCCAGGTTTGAGAATCTGAGGACATTAGGAGTTTTCTTTGGGGAGCACTCAGGGAGGAGCAAGTCTGGCAGTAAAGTCCCCTCTACCTGTGTGGTTGGGCAGCGAAGGAAGGAACAATGTCCTTACGGGGTGTCCAGACATAAGAAGACCTGCAACAGTCCTGGCACTGTCTGCGGGCACGAGGCCAGGAAGAGAAGGTGAAAGATCACAGTCTCCAGAGAGGGAAGAGAACTGGCTGAGAAAAGGCTGATGGAGAAACTAAAACCTGCTTCTCTTTTTAAGCACCTTGCCTGGTAGCTAGCATAACATGTACCCATTCATTAATAAATTTGGATATTACCAGGAAATTCTAGTGTTTCTCATTCTAGACCTCTGGAGGACAAAGGAACTCAAGTCAGTCAATCTTCTATATTATGTCCTAAAAAACATATGCCCACTTCTAGGGAAAAAATATAATTTATAAAAAAGCATCACTTCTCATTTTTTGTAAACATTTATATAAATTCACATAAAAAGCAGAGACCTGAAAATTCATTTTAAAATATACATAATTAAAGGCACACCCCCCGAGGAACCTCTCTCTGGTGAAAGAATTGTCAGCAGAATGCTTCTGGGTTTTTACAGCCCAAACTTCATAGAATATACAGATCTTTCAGTACAGGATTTTTAGGCTAGCATTTGTATAGGAAGAAAATTTATACACAACAAAAATATAACAGAACATTCCAGAATAAGGAAGCATACAGGAGACATCTCAGGCTACCTTCCAACTGTGGCCGGGAGAAGGTCAGAGCCAAGATAGCGGCTTTGAGGGGCACCCTGGGGCCAGCCACAGGCACAGCACAGCACGAGCGGTTTGTGAACATAATCTTTGGGACACAAGCACAGCTCCAGTTTGCAATTTTTCATTTTGAAACATCAATCGCCTCCTTTTTTTTGGGACGAAGTCTCGCTTCGATGCCCAGGCTGGAGTGCAGTGGCGCCATTTGGCTTGCTGCAGCCTCCGCTTCCAGGTTCAAGCAATTCTCCTGCCTCAGCCTCTGAGTGGCTGAGATTACAGGGACTCACCACCATGCCTGGCTGATCTTTTTTTTTTTGGACTTTTAGTAGAGACGATGTTTCATCACTTTGGCCAGGCTGACCTCCAGCTCCTTATCTCAAGTGTTCTGCCCACCTCGGCCTCCCAAAGTGCTGGGATTGCAGGTGTGAGCCACCATGCCTGGCCTCAATCACCTCTTTCGAGATTTCTCATCACCTTATTCCTCGGGGATCTTTAGCAGCACGAAAATGGCAGGGTCTTGCCTTGAGTTTGAATTTGATATTTTGCCTGAAATTTTGGCTTCGTCTTTCAACTTGCCTATACTACCATCAATTTCCAACTAGTGGCAAAAAAAGAACTCTCTGGGTCCAACTTTCTTTATTTCCCTCAGCACTGTTTTAAAAATTAATTTTGCATTTATTATATCTTGCTTTACTGCAGGCACTTCTAAACTACCATCAACAAGTGGTTGCTGGAAGAAGACTTAACTGAAAGCAAAGAAAGCATACTCTACCCAGTATCCTGCTTCCCTGGATACTTACCCAGCTCTTAGGAGAGCGAAATTTTCATCTGTGGCTTTTGTTCCACCCCACTGCTCTCTGCCATGTCCTGGATGGGCTCTCAGTGTGGTTTATTGTTCAAAATCAAAAAGGAGGATAAAACAAGACTACTACTAATATCTTGCTTTGGGTTAGAAATGTCAAGTCTGAGAAACATTTTCATACACATTGTCACATTTAGACTCACATTTAGTGTCAACTGCAAGGTTGACGGGAATGGTACTATCATTTCCATTACTATCATTTCCATTATTAGTGTAAAAACACATATTCAAGCATGTTAAACAATAGCAAACGTGGGGCTCAAAAAGATTCCTATGTGTTGGGCACTGCTTCCATGAAGTTACAAAGAACGTAGTTATCAGACATAGTTCCTCCCCTCAAGAAGTTCACAGTCTAGTGCTGGGTACAGATTTGTAAACCAGTAAGTGTAATCAGTATGGAAAGAGCCCACCAGATACATAGGAGGTTGCACAGGAAAAGGCACAGCAATCTCTACCAGCAAGAGAGGACTGTGGAGGACCTTATAAGAGAGATCATCTTTGGGTTCTTTGAAGAATGAGAAGACTCTAAGTAGTGTAGGGAAGACAGAGGTAGGAAGAAGTTATTCCAAGGAAGAAAACGTATGTGCAAAGGCACAGGATAAGATAATCAAAGAACTGAAAGCCTGTGCACAGGAGATGGCACTGGATGACAAAGGGCACAGAGGACTTTGTCATAGCAAGTGGCAAGCCACTAAAGGATTTAACCAGAGGAAAGACAGGATCAGGTTTGAATTCAAAAACATTTTGGCCTTAGAGAGGAGGATAGATTTCTAAGGAAAAGGGAGATTGTGGGCAAAATCCAGGCAAGAAATGATTCTGGACTAAAGCTAAGGCAGGGATAGCAGGAATGGAGGAGAGGGGGTATGGTTGAGAGACCTTTCACTGGGAGAACAGAAGTAGGGCTCATGTGCTGGAAACTTAATTTCCAATGCAGTAGTGTTGAGAGGTAGAATCTGTAAGAGGTGAGGAGGTCCTGAGCACTCTACCCCTGTCAATGGATTAATGCCATTATATCAGGAGTGTGTTAGTGATTTTGGAAGAAAGTCCTGAGAAAAAGGATGAATTTGGCTCCCTTGATGTCTCTTTTGGGCTCTTGTTATGTGACGCCTTCCACCAAGGCATGACATAGCAAGAAGTTTCTCACAAGATACAGCCCCTTGCTCTTGCTCTTGGACTTCCCAGCCTCCAGAACTGTGAGCCAAATAATTTCTGTTGTTGATAAATTACTAAGTCTATGGTATTTTGTTACAGCAGCACAAAACAAAGACAGCTGTCATTTGGATACAGATGATGCATGTAAGGAAGAACTCTGGATGGATTCCAGGTTTTAAACTCATCAAGGTTGTATGACGGTAATAACTTTAATAACGAGGGAAAGAAGCAGATGGGTCAGGGAGTGGGGAAGAGCATAAGTCAGAAAAAGGAGGCAGCATGTTGGGTTTTGAGCAGTCCTTGTGCACGGAGCCTTTGAGGCATTCACGCAGAACTGGTGACATTTGAGCTGGAGATGTGAAATCCATTTTACTGATGCCAGAGGGAGGAATGTGATGAACCATGGAGAGAATGTGGTGTGAGAGGTAACAGAAAGGGAAGGATGTGGATATCACCCTTATTTAAGATGGGCATAAAAAAAAAGCAAGATAATAAATGCACAGAGGGAGAGAGAACAGGACAAAAGGAATCCAAGGAAGATTTTTGGGAAGGAAGAAGAAGAAAGGACAGATGATCATGAGGGTCAAATGCCACACCCATGTGTTAGACAACAAGATCCGGCACCAGAGGAGAGCTGTGTCTGTTGTGTGTTGAGGGGAGCTGCCAGGCAGGGTGGTGGGACTAGGAAAGATTCACAAAGAGAATCTTCCCGTGAAAAGAAAGGAACGAGAGATGTGATTGCAGCCCAGGAAGATGGTGCCTCTTAAAGTTTAATGTAGGAGCAAGATTTCACCATGTTGGCAGATGAAGGGCAGTCAATGATGACGGAGAATGGTTAGAGACTGACTGGGGAGCCTCACTGTTCCCCAGTATCCTTCTTTTCAACCCAATAGCGTGAATCATTGCTACTCTTCTCAGGTATCTTCCATCGTCCTTCTGAGAAAGGCATTTGTGCTTTGGAAGGAACGTGCAGGTGGAATAAGACCCCTGCTGTGATCAGAGAGATGGTTTGCTTAGGGCTACCTGCAGCTTACATTGTTGGGAACTTGTTTGTACAAATTTTGGAAGACCGTTTGCTTGCACTGAGACAAAGTTTCTCTGTGTAGTTCAGCGGTGACCATGACAAACTCTGGAAGACCATTTGCTTGCACTTAGACAACGTTCTTCCTCTATATAGTTTAGGGGTGACCATGGCAATTGTTTTGCCCCATAAGAGGCAGTTCTGCTTGCATGCTACATAGCATCCCAGAGGTCTTAGACACCCCTTGCGGCCTGGAGGAAAGCCGAGCCTTGTAACCCGCTGGGCTAGGCCAGCAGGCTCCACATGCCGTTGCCACATGTCTAATCCTGAATATGCAAGGGTCCAGGTGGCACCTACTTGAGACTAAATAAGACTTTTGTTTCCTTTCCCCCTCCCCAAACATGCAGATTTTAACTCTCTTCTTTTATTTAGCTTCTATTAATTCTCAGAGTAACTTTTCTCCTAAGTCGGTGAATGGTGGGATTTTCACATTCTCTTAAAACAACTTTGCATTGGAATTCAGTCTCATATTGCATCCAAAATAAACTTACATATTTTAAAAAGCAACCTGTTCTTAATAGAACCTTTCTTACTTTTATGTCACTGAATATTTTTACAACTTATAACAGAAATATTTATTGGAAGAGCGGGTACATGTCTTGACATCTTTACAGGCCAGACAGTGCTTGGCGCATAGTAGGGCTGAACAAATATTTGTTGAATGAATGAAGAGTCAACAGAATAAATTAACAGTGAACATTCTGTCCACCAGAGAAAAATAGGCTGAGAAAGAGCTGTTGTCAGTTGCACAAAACCTGTCAAAAGAGCAAATCACATACACATACACACACACACACACACACACACACACACACACACACACACATACACACACAATCCAGTTCTATAAACAGGATACAATTAAGGACCTACAAACTGGTCTTCTAATAAGAGCTAACCAAACTAGTCTTGTTCATTTCAGACATTCTTATCTGTCAAAGCCTAAATTCAGAGCTCTACAAAACGGTTCCTTCTGTATGAAGCCTGATAATAAATGTTTTTTAAAAATCCAGACATCAGCACAGACCCCACACCACAGGAGGGTCCTCTGTCAATCTCTCCCTCTTCCTCTCTCTCTCTACAAAGACTTCAGAAGTCAAAAGCTGGACTGTCAATATCTAAAGTCTAAATATATTGTATTTTATCTCCCCAACAAGCCAAACATCTTTGCAAACAGAGCAATGAACTTTGGCATTCTCGAAGCACAACTGTGAACACAGCAGTAGCCCAAGGTAAAACAACCTTGTGAAACCAGGTCACCAGCAGAGCAGCTTGTGGGCGACCAGAGAGGCTCTGTCACCCGAAGCAAACACTGCTTCATGGAGCTGTAGTGTGGAGTCCATTGACCATTGTGAGCATCTCCGAACAAGTTGTGTAAATATGGTTGTCTCCAACTAGAATAAAGGCAACATCCACTCATATCTCCGGTTGTTTTCATTAAAATGGCTGTTCTGTTTATAACTTATCCATGTTATACATGCAATTTTAAATGAAATAATGCAATAAAACTGGAATTTGGCAGGAATGTTACTAATCTTGGATGAGTTTCAGCTGAGGGCACCTGGGCCCCGCTGCTCACTGGACAACAGGGCCCTTATCCTTGGGATACCAGTCAGGTCCCCATGTGAACCTCAGAAAACCCACCCGGGCTTCCTTCAGTGAGGGGGCCTGGACTGATGTCTTCTAGAACACTGGGCCCTGGCTTCTTGTCAAGTGCTTACTCAAGAAATAGATTTAAAGAAGTCCTGGAGTGTTCAGTCTAGCGAGCAAAACAACATCAAAAATAAAACAAAAATAAACAAAACAACACACACACACGCGCACACACACACACACACACACACACACCCTACATATAATCAAGTTGATTATCTGACTATGTGTGTGGAAGGGAAGGTTAAATGAAATTGGAGATAATAAAATTCTGTTTGGAGACGAGAAATACAATTCTATTTGGAGAAATAAAATCTTTAGTAAATTGGACATATGTGCAACAATATTTATTGCAGCACTGTTTATAGCATCCAAAAACTGTAAATAACATAAGTGCCCATCAATAGGAGAGTGGCTGAATAAAATATGGTGTCGCTACACTTCTACCCCTCAGAATATTATGTAACCAGCACAAAGAATTAATTAGAATATACCAGTTGACTTAGTAAGATTTCTAGGAAGTGCTATTTGGTTGAGCCAAGATGCAGGAACCATGTATAACATCCTTCTTTTGGAAGACAAGCCATAACCCAAAAGCTATGTATACATCCATGTATACAAGTATCCCTTTCTCTCCAAAACCTCTTGTTCTTGAGTTCAGATAGCAAGTTCAGACGGTGAAATTGTACATGACCAGGGGCACCTGCATGTGTGCCTCTATGTAGTTGTATCTATATCTGTAAATCAGTAAGCAGCTATGCAACCTCACATTGTTACATTTGTTAAAATGTTTGCATCTATACATGTAATAAATTTCTAGATACAATATTATAAAGGGAGAAATGAAATGGCTGAACTGCTTTAAATTTTTTTGGACTTTTAAATTCTTTTTTACATTTTGTTTCAATAGTTTAATTTTATTTCAGTGTTTTTTGGTTACATGGATAAGTTCTTTAGTGATTTCTGAGATTCTGGTGCACCTGTCACCCTGCTTTAAATGAATGTGACTTGACTTCTTCTGGCATTTGTATTCCTGCAAAATAAGCAGTATCTGCATGTCGTTTGTCAGAAGAGTGTTTGACCCGTGGCACAGATTGCATTGTCCTCCGAAAACTCATCAGAAGGAGATGCAGGAAAGGAAAGGATCTTGCTGGAGGTGCAGTCACTTTTTTACGCTTCCACATCTCCTAGCCCACAGGACTGGCTTTGTGACCTGAGGCTGCCTGACTCCAGAACCCTTTTGGCTACTCACAGGAGCCTCCCAAAATCCTTGTTCTTGTTTCTGCCATAAGATTGCTGTGGAGAATCCCACAGAACCGCGCTCCAGCAATGGAAGCCTGCTTTGTAGCTGAACACGTTGATTTCTCCAATTACCATCCAACCCAAGTTCTTGGGCAGCAAAAGAGGTCATAGGACTCTCAGCTCTCCACAGTCCCACATCTGTGTGAGGGGGGCAAAGGGTAAACCTGACACCATGGCAATGACTAAGCCTTTAAACTGGAGCATCCCCAAAACTGAGCACATGAGCCTTGCTTGTTTTATTACTCCAGAATTTTTACGAGGTGTCTGCTTTGCATTCAGAATAAAGATTCTTTCAGCAATATGTTTTAGTGTCTTTAGTACATTTCCAGGCTATAGCACCTAGACTCGAATTTGTATTAAACTGAATCTTTGCAGACAGACTTGGCCCAAATAACGTGGAAAAAGGAGCACTGTATTAAAATACATGAGTGGAAACTAATCAAGGGCGCATACAGGCACAGGCAGCCACCTGCCAACAACCAGGCTGAGCATAAAGTAAATTCAAAGAACATCAACGAAGGTGGTTTCATATTTGAAGCTGGAACCTCCTAGAAACAACAGCCCTGCTTCTGAGACATGCCCTCTCGGAAAGTTCCCGCCAGGCTCTGGCGCGTTTTTTCACTGTGATGCATCTCTGGTGCAGCCCGGCGCTCTGCTGGCTGCGCTTCTGTTCACACTGGCAGCGTTGGTGCACGGGGGCGTGCAGTCGTGGCGCTCACGTCCTCATTTCCTCGGCTGCCTGGAACCCACAGAATACTCCTTTCTGGGGGGTGCTTCCTCTTTCCTGGGAGCCTTCTGGCCTGTGCCTGCTTGTGAATTCTCCAGGGCCCGTGCCTACCTGCCCCTTCTACCCTCAGCTGGCAGTCCCATTTTTAAAAGGTCTTGAATAAAGTGAAATGTGATTAGTTGTGGGAAATGAACCAATAATATGCATAATTAAGCAGCCTTTATCACTGATGGAATCTGGAAATAAAGGTAAATTTTCTCCAACTTTTTATGCTGTAATAGCCATGTTTCTATGAGAAACACTGGTAGAACTGAAATTATTTCATCTCCATAGTGCCTTTAGAAGAAACATAACCCACCATCAACTTCAGGACTGCTGCACGCACACTTCAACATTTCTTGGTATAGGGCACAGTAGGGGAGGGCAGTACAGAGAGACAGTTAAGAGCTCAGACTCTGAAGTCTGTCTGGAATTTGGGCCCACATCTCACATGCAATACTCTGACCTTACGCAAGTTACTGAAGCTTCTAGGTTCCATTTCTTTGCATAAATGGGTATAGTAACATTTACACACCCCATAGGGTTGTTGAAAAGATTAAATGAGATGATACCAGTAAAATACTTAGAACAAGACTTAGCAGATGGGAGCTCTTCATAATTCATTAATACTATATCCAAAGGAAAAAAAAATTGACTTGGGCCTTTCTGAAATCAATAAAAATCTGTTTCTGTGGCTGTTAAGGCCTTGTCTTCAAGAGGTAGAACTCTCTGTCTAAATCAGACGGACTCCAGTCACTTGAAAATGCTCCCTGCCTCTTGGCCCACCTGACATCATTTGGTTATTTGTCTCCACCTAAACCTCATGTTGAATTTTAACCTGCAATGTTGGAGGTGTGGCCTGGTGGGCATGTTGGGATCATGGATGTGGGTCCCTCTTGGCTCAGCACTGTCTTCCAAATAGAGTTCTCATGAGATCTGGTCATTTAAAAGTGTGTAACACTTCCCTCCACCACTCTGTCTTGCTCCTGGTTTTACCATGTGATGTGCCTGCTCCTCCTTTGCCTTCTGCCATGATTGTAAGCTGCCTGAGGCCTCCCTAAAAACTGAACAGATGCCAGCACCATGCTTCCTATATGGCATGCAGAACTGTGAGTCCATTAAACCTCTTTTCTGTATATATTTCCCAGTCTCAAATGTCTCTTTATAGCAATGCAAGAATAGCCTAATGCACCACCTTTCACCCTCAGGGCCATCCCCGTCTCCCACCATTTCACGCCTTCTTTAAGAGCAGACCCAAATATCCCCCAGCACCAAGGTCTTCCCTGGGGACTCCAGGTGCAGAAGCCACTTGGGATGCACCTGGCCTCAGTCATTGTTCCTCTCCATATGGCCATCATCTCACAAGGCCATCGGGACAGTGACTCCTGGACACAACTCTGACCCTCATGCATGATTGGCAAGCATCTTCAAAACATGCACATTTGGGGTTTTCTCATAAAAGCTTTGTTCAGTAAATGTCTGCTACTGCCTCATTTATTGAATATTCCAGCTAGGGCTGCCAACAGCCACGCTGTAGTATACCATATGTGTGCTGGGGTGGAAGGGGAATTAAAGATGTCAGTTTATGAGTATATATATTTATTATACATATTTGAATATATGTATTTTTAAATATATTTATTTAATTTGTGAAGGTTGTGTGTATACATATGTGTATATGTGTGTGTATACATGTATACACAAACATGCGCGCGCGCGCACACACACACACACACACACACACACACTCCTTCACAAAATAGTCTCCCTGAAGTTTCTTATCATTCCCTGTTTTGTTTCTGCCTTGAAAATAGTTACTAAGGATGTTGATAATTTGTGACACTTCATCTTTAGTGCCTCTTTGCACCCACAGAAGGAGACCATCGAGGGAGATGTGTTCAGTGTGTGGCTACCTGTGCTGGCTGCCACCCACTATGGACAGTGGGCCCTGCCGTGTGTGCCTGCCTGGGCTCACGGCTCTGCCCCTGCTCTCAGGCCTCTACTCACTTGCCCTTGCCTTTTCTGTTCCCAGTTTCAGCTCATTCCATTCAAGTCCCACTGGACTTCTTGGGAAAAGTACTGCTAATTTGGATCATTTATTAGGAACTACTATATACCAACCTGCATAGAGTGCTTTAACCTCCACAGTGTGCTAGTAGGTATTTGTGACAAGGCTTTCCAGGAGGAAAAGCCTGATTTATGATGTTTGCCAATTTCCAGGGAGTAACTACAGCCCATTCTGCTATAACACATCTTCTGAAAATGAGGATTTGTTCCACTGTGATTGGTAAATTAGCGAACACTTTGAGTGTCATGTCAGCGTCGATTTGCTCAGGCATCATTTTCTTGTTCAGAAGCCAGGTAAATGTTGTAGGAAGGATAAATCTCACACACATGCATTTCATCAGGACAAGGGGCCACACCCACCCACACCTGCTGACACTACTCTCTCTAGGGTTTTAGGGTTTTGCCTACACACTGGAGAACTGATACTGTAACTCAGTCTGCGTCCAAAGGCCTGAGAACCAGAGAGCTGGTGGTATAAAAATCTAAAGTCTGAGGTCAAAGGCCTGAGAACCTGGGAGGTCACTGGCATAAGTACAGAGTCCAAAGGTCTGAGAACCTGGAGAACCTGGTGTTTCAGGGCCAGAGAAGATGAATGTCTGAGATGATACAAAGAGAGTGAATTCACCCTTCCTCCACCCTTTCATTCTATTGGAGACTTAAGTGAGTCAGGTGATGCCTGCCATGTTGGTGAGAAAAGCTCTTCTTTACTCAGTGTTTAGATTCAAATGTTAACCTCTTCTGGAAATGTCCTTGCAGACCCTTCCAGAAATAGTGATTTGCCAGCGATCTGGGCACCACCTAACCCAGTCAAGATGACACCTAAAATTGTACATCACACGCTCCTCCTCGCAGTTCAAAACAACACGAGTGACGACCCTCCCTGCCACCAACCTGGCTGCACAGCTCTGTGTCTCTTCCATATTAGTCTGTTCTTACACTGCTCATAAAGACATACCCAAGACTGGGTAATTGATAAAGGAAATAGGTTTAATTGACTCACAGTTCAGCATGGCTGGGGAGGCCTCAGGAAACTTACAATCATGGCAAAAGGGGAAGCAAACACCTCCTTCTTCACATGGCAGCAGCAAGGAGAAGTGCTGAACAAAAATGGGAAAAAGCCCCTCTTAAGACCATCAGAGCTTATGAGAACTCACTCACTATCGGGAGAACAGCCTGAGGGTAACCAGCTCCATGACTCAATTACCTCCCACCAGGTCCCTCCTAGGACACATGGGGATTATGGGAACTACAATACCAGATGAGATTTGGGTGGAGACACAGCCAAACCCTATCACCTTCTCTTTAATTTCTCCTCCTGAATCTCAGCTACTTTGTATTTTTCCTTCAATTTTCTGTTCTTTTTCTCTTGGAAACTCTTTGGTTCTCTTCCTCTTGCAGACAGGGAGGTGGGCACGGTGGGCCCCCAGGCATGGGGCACTCACTCCTACAAGCAAACTCCAGGTCTTCCTCAAGGTGATCTTTTCAAAGTGACGTCTTTATTGTAGTATTTATGGATTTCTTAATCAGTTGACATGTATAACTATGTGTGCTACCATTTTTATCGGGTTACTCACCTTTTATTTTTTGATACTAATAAAGTTTTTGAATGTTGTGTCCTTAACCCCATTTTCCTATAGGCTCTACAGTCTTTAATGTAGAAATACATACATTACATTATAAGTTCTGCTATGATGTAGCAGAACTTATAATGTACTTATAATGAATTTATAATAAACTGCCCATGGTATGCTGGGGCCCACTCATGCTCACACACTCTTCCTTGAAAGAGCTGGTTGGATTCCCAGCTCTGTGTTTAGTGATGTCATACAAATACTGCAGTAAATATGTCACTTTGCAAAGAAGAATTTTGAAAAAAAAAACAAAAAACCTTCTATATTTAAAGAAGCTAATGTCCTTTAATGAAAAGTCTGAGTGAGGTGAAAATCTTCCAGTCTGTGCTCAGAAGACAGGGCTTCAGTTTCTTCTATTTTGCCAGTTGGTATAACCTTGAGTGTGACAATGACCTTGAATGTGGGAGCCAACTCATGTTGGCGCCCGACCCCCACCTCCTGGTGTTCACTCCTTCCACATTGCACAAGGGGTTTGGCCTGTGTGACCAACAGAATGCAGCAGAAGTGAGAGGGTGTCACTTTGAGACCAGGTTCTAAAGACACTGCAGCTTCTGACTTGGTTGCTTCTTTGTTCCTTGGGCCACCGGCTTTGGGGAGGGCCAGCCTCCACATTAAGCAGGCCTCCTGACAATAGCCATGTGCCATGGGCCACCTTAGAAGCAGTTCCTCCAGTCCCAGTAAAACCTGAGGTGATGTAACTACAGCAAGCATCTGGATAGGAATCTCATAAAAGACCCTGAGACACGGCCACGCAGCTAAGCCACTCCTGACTTCCTAACCCTCAGAAACTGTGAGAAACAATATATGCTTGTTTTTTTAACTCAGTAAATTTAGGGGTGATTCCTTGCTGTGACCTACATCTTTGTGTCCCCCCCTCACTCCAATTTGTATGCTGAAATCCTAAACTCCAAGGTGATAGTATTCAGAGGTGGGACCTTTTGGGGGGGTAACTAGATCATGAGAGTGTAGCCTTCATGAATGGGATTAGTGCCCTTATAAAATAAAATCCATTGAGCTTGTTTGCCCGTTCCACCACATGAAAACACAGTGGGGAGGTGCCATCTACAAACCAGGAAGAGGACCTGCCAGCACTTTGGTCTTGGACTTCCCAGCCTCCAGGACTGTGAGAAATTAGTTTTTGTTGTTTATGGTATTTGACTGTAGCAGGCTGACTAGACTAAGACATTTGCTATGGAGCAGTGGATAACTAATAGAGTCACTAAGCCATTGAATTCTCTATATACATATGACAAACAGGCTCAATAATGGTTGCTCTGTCTACTTCATAGAGAAACAATTAAACCAAGTGGGGAACTGTGTGTGATTCCATTCTAGCAACTGTGAAAATGCCCTGCCGCAGTAATGTGCTATTATTACATTTAAAGATATTGTTTAGTTGATTGTTTCCTTTGCTGTGCAGAAGCTCTTTAGTTTGATGTAATCCCATTTATTATTTTTGCTTTTGTTGCCTGTGCTTTTGGGGGTCATAACAACAAAAAATAACCATTGCCTACACCAAAGTCACACAGCCTTTCCCCTACGTTGGTCATAGGTTAGGAAGATTCAATTAGACAGGAGGAATAAGCTAAAGAGAGCTCTTGTAAAACATAGTGATTACAGTTAATAAGAATATATTGTCTTCTTTAAAAACGCTAAGAGAGTAGATTTTAAGTGTCCCCACCACAAAATGACAACTCTGTGAGGATATGCATATGTTAATTAGCTTGATTTAACCATTCCACAATGTATACATATTTCAACATATCACATTGCACATGATAAATGTATACAACTACCTGTTTTATTTAAAGGCTATTTAAAAACTAATAAATATATCCTTCAGGCCTTACTACATGATCCTCACTTGAGCAGAAATTTAATAATTAAAATACCATGTCTCTACCATCCAGAAATTAGCACAGTAAACACATTATTGACTATAACTCATACATTTTCTCTCTATACATACACACGCACACCTAAAATGAAATTATCTTTTGCACATAATTTTAATAACCACTTTTTTTTTCAGTTAATAAGCTCCAGGTTTCCATTTCAATGAATCTTCATCTTATCTAATACCTAGTCCATGTTCAAATTTGCTCAGTTGCTCCAAACAGTGTCTTTAGCTGGCTTAAGTATTCGGGATCCAGTCAAGGGCCATTCATTGTACCGTGTTGCCTTTTTTAGGTTGCTTCTAATCTGCCACATCGACATGCAGTTATTGATAAAGACTATACTTCATTGTCTGGGCATGTCTGGATATTTTCTCGTGGAGTCATTTTGTTTTATCCTCTATCTCCCATATTTCCTGTAAGCTGAAAGTCAGATCTAAAGGTTTGATACATTCTATTTAGGCATATGGGGTTAGACTACATCTTAAGCGATGCTGTGTGCATAAAGCTGGGTTGATCCACCATTGCTGATGCTAACGTTGACAGTGGGTTAAGAGATTAAACATATGATCCTTCCATTGTACGGCTACTTTTCCTCCTTTACAACAATGTCCAGATCTGCATTAACTATGCATCCAATGTTGATTTTCTAATTCTATCATTTATTCTGTATTATTGATGACCTTTTTTTTCTTTTAAAATACAGCTTCCTCTCATCAACTCCGCTACTGCATTATCCCAAATGCGTTCATATTGGCAGAGAAGGTAACCATGATTGCCCTTCAGTGTCAAATTTTTAATGTAATGAGTTGATTTGGTAGCCGTCTCAAGTTGTGGTATAAAAGTATTTCCCTAGATTTTGCTTTGTGAATTTCATTATGGACTCATGTATTTTCATTCATTCAATGTGCATTAATATGCTATAATCACTGCTATTTTTGATGTTGAAATTGTCATACTTTTGGTCAATGGGAAGGGGCTTCTCTTTACATAATCATATTAGTTTTTGACAGCCTTCTTGCTTCCTGACACAGCAAGACATCACTTACCCCAGAATCATCCATCTCACCAATTAAGTATGGCCTTCTGAAAGCATAGCATTAGGTAATGTCCTATCAAACAGACTGGAAAGGCATGAGTTTCTACTTTATTTTCAGAATACTATATGTAAATTATAGAGAACAGGAGAAAACTTTGCCAAATCAAAACTACACTGAATCTTGACAATTGACTTCTCTTATACAAAGAATTTTGTGTGTGTGTGTGTGTGTGTGTGTGTGTGTGTATAAAACTCAAAATAACTCATCTGAAGATGAATAAAGTGATCATCTTTAGTTATCTCTTGAGTTTCAACATATATATACGCACAACATATGTATGTGTGTATATACATATATACACAACATATATATATGTTGTGTGTATATATACACAATATATATACAACATATATATATATATATATACACGCACACACACATATATATAGTGTATGTGTGTGTTAATAGACAAGAGATATCTAAATTGCAAAAGCATCTTCTACTTAATAAAAACCAAAATAAGACCTTGAGACCTGAACTAAGAGTTTTATTATCAAGTGCGGGTGGAGAGACCTCAGGATAGGTAGCGAACGTTCCCAGCAACAGGAGAAGAAAGTATAAGTCTCTGTCAATGGAGAACGAGAGGAGTACCCCACCAGGAGAAGGGGTTTCCGTTCTCCCTTCCTGGGGAGGGGTTCTACCTGTCAGTGGGGGGTGTGGCTGGGATCGAGGCAGAATTGAGTCAGAGAGCAGAGGAGCTTCCACCTGCTTCCTAACGGGAAGGCTCTGGGAGGAGGCCTTCTGGAGTGCTCTGCACCAAGGTGATGTTCGACCTCCAAGGAGAAACGACAGTGTGGCTTCAGGCAGAATGCTTTCCCGTGTTTCAGGCAATGGAAGTTCCCGCGTGCATCTGCTGAAGAAGGTGGCTGAGAGCTGAGGCCACCAAGGGACCATCAAAGTGAGACACAAGGTGACCTCAGAGCCAAGATTGCTGGTGGTGGACAGTGTAAGCCAGGGGCCAGGTGGGGGACTTGCTTGAATCTTACATGAATGCAAGGGGGGACAAAGCCAGCTGCAGAGGGGACTTCTGCCTTGGCTATGCCCTGGAGCGTGACTAAGCTGGCCTCATGGCAGTGGTTGCAGGGAGGACTTAGGCCTTGGCCCAGAGTCCAGTGACAGCCTCGGTGACGTGTGGTCCCTGCCCCCGACTCCTGGAAGCCATCACATCTGTCTTGCCACCAGACACCTACTTTGGAAGAAGGAGCAAAGAGGAAACGGCCCTAGTAAATAATCTGAGTTTTGAGTTGATGGATTCAGAAATTCAATTTTTCAAAAAGGGATAGTTTCAATCCAGAAAAGATTGTTGCCTTTACCTGAGAAAAATGTTATTTTTGCTGCCACCATCAATGGGAATATAGACTCCATGGCAAGATGAAATCAGTTAAACATCATAAATAGGGCATATCGGTCGCACCCACCCATCTGAGATGAGTTATCTCTTAAACCCACCTAGCACACAGTACAATGCAATTCACGATACTTGTTATTACAACTATTCCCTGGTTCCTCAACTCTCTCGAGTCTCGGTACACCCGCTGGAGGAGGTGCCCGTGGCAGGTGCCCTGTAAGGGGTCGGCAGCACGGCTCAAACAGCAAAACACGCTGGTGCAACATGTCGGACGATGACCGGGGAGACCACCGCAGACCATATGAAATGCGGCCTCCCACTGATCATCCCCCAGACGAAGAACAACTCGAAAATAAAAGCATAGGAGATCTCTTTAGAAGAGCTCTATTTGTATCACAAACATGCGATGCATTCATTATGAGCTACAGGTGACATCATGAGGTGTCTCAAAAACATGCAGGAGACATAGTAAATAAAAGTATTTTTCCATGTTTTATCATCAGTGTCCAGAAATTCATCAGAAAGTGGAAAAATAACTCATCCGAAGATGAATAAAGTGATCATCTTTAGTTATCTCTTGAGTTTCAACATCATTCCAGCTAATTTTGTTGTTGACCGGAAGTAAAAATGAGAAAATCAAAAACTAAAATTTTATGTAATTATAGTAAGATCTAAAACATGAGGAGGAACAAGAATGTTGATGCAAGAGGCATCTTGAAAAAATAATTATGATTTTGCATGTGTTTAGTCCAGGCTCTTGCTTTTCCTTTGTCCTGATTAAGCTGGCTGCCTTATCATTGTTAGGTTTTCTTCCTTAGAAGATGAAGTCAGACTTCTTGAAAATATGGCCTATTTCTTTTATATATTTTAATGTCTATGATAAAATGGGAATATATCCTGAGACCTGAATAGGAAAGCCCAAGAATACTACAATCTTAATCCTTCCAGCATACACAAAACTACAGTCTTTGTTAAATGTTTTAACAGGCTTTTATGGCTTGACAGCTATAAGTTTTTTATCCAACACAATTCACTCACAGTAACATGGTCTAGAGCAGCATTTAGCATTTTCTATTTGCACACTGAGAGCTTCTGGAATTTTTGGCTTCTGATTGCTATCAAAAGAATGATTGATGAGCTTGCTTCCGTGGAACCCCACGTAAGGCATGAGAGTGATGCACCTGTTCCCTAGGAAGGACACCGGGCGAGAGCTCTCTCCTTAGAACCTTCTTCTCTTGCACACAGAGTGCTTTCTGCAGGTGGCCGTTCATGGAAGGCTTCCAATATCTGTGCAGACCAGGTCCACTCAGATGCAGGAGGCAGCCTTCCAGTCAGGAGGATAGCAGCCAGCCCAGGAGTGGGTACCCATGGATTACGAGGAGCAATTTAACTTACAGCAGCTTCAGCTGAGCCTTGGAAGTCTAAAGCACTAAAAAAGTGGAGACCTGCTTAGGGGATGGTGTGTATCCTGAGCTGGCTGAATCCCCGGACATGAACCAGGGCTACACATAAACAAAAGTCATGTGAAAAGTTAATAAACTAATGCAAAACTGGGGTACAATTTGGGAGATCTGATCTCTCACCCTGATTTAGTAAAGAATATGTGTCCTCTTCAGAAAGTTCCTGATTTCTTCGGACATTATTCTCTCCTACATGGTATGCAATGATAAAAATGTGGTTATCTTTGTTCTTATATATCATATCAATTTACGGCATGTTTAAGCTCTGGAAGTCAGTTTGTGGGATTGGCAAAGGCCGTGGAGGTCTTCCTCATGGTTGGAATAAGCCACGGTTTAGCTATGTCAGCTGGGGAGGATCTGCAAAACTACCTCTGAACAGATACAAAGTCAAACTAGATTCGCCAGTTCTGTAAAGTGACAAGTTAGATGGCAGTCAGCACACATGCTCACACGTGAGTATATTAAACATCCCCAACACTGTTTCAGCCTTCTTCTTGAAGATTACCTGTGCATACTTTTGTTCATGTTGAGCCTCACAGAACTTCAATTCAGGTTGATCTGCTCTGTCAAGCTTTGTTTTGCCCAACCTGAGGTCCCATTCTGGGGTACTTTCTGGTCTCTTGGCTAAGGGCCGTCCTCTCTACGTCCAGCATCCTTCAGCTGAATTGCCACAGGTCCTGGGTTGATTTCTCTGCCAACAGTCAATTGCCCCTCCCACTGGTCCTGACGCGGAGCTACATCCAGCTTCTCTGCGCCACTCACTGTGCAGGGTCACCTTCCAACGGGACCCTCGTGTGCAAGGTCATCTTCCCTCATCCAACCTGCCCTTCTCGCTCGGTCTCCTAACACCGAGTCCCCCATTAGATGAGTCTCTCCCTGTTCGCCAGCGCTGTCCTCCACCTGCCGTTCCTTCTGGTTTAATTTTCTAGTCGCGTCTCCCACCGCCCAGGTGCAGCACGTCCTCTCCATGCCAGTGGTGACCTGGCTGTTCCAGTACATGGTCCTTCCTCCATTTATTCATTCAACAAGCTTTTACGGGGGCCCCACAAAGGGCCCGGCACTGTTCTAGCTGAAAACCAGCCAAAACTCTTCAGCTGGCCTTTACCATACACTTGCTCTAATCATGTATAATGAATAGTTGACATTTATCACGAATTTACTATGCCAGGAGAGGTAAGTGCTTTCCAATACGTGCGTCTCATTCTCGCAATAGCCTGCTGAAATAGGTGCTGTTATTCTCCTCAAGTCCTCATGTGAAGTAACGAGGCACAGACAGTAAATGACTTTCCCAGGCTGTGCATCTAATATGTGCGCAGCTGGGATTCAACCTTAGCATTCTGGCTCCAGAGCGCTTCTCAGCTGGCAAGCTGACAGGCAGCCACCAACAGCCCCCATGGCCTCTGCCAGAAACCACGCCGGGGGTTCCATTCCTTCACCTGTGCCTACCCTCACTCCCCAACTTCAGTAGAGCCCGCATCTCTCACGGAGCATAATTCTAAGGAAACCATGCTTACATTACATGTTGCCTTGGTTAGATTTTGCCGGAATCAGGTGTTTGAACCCTGGTAATGAGTGGAAACAGCAACGGGAATTTATGTTGTATTATGGTCCGTGGGAAAAACACCGGGGAATGACACCGTTCCTTAGTTTTACACACACACACACACACACACACACACACACACATACACTTGCAGCATCAGGTCTAAAGCGTGCAGACTCTATTAGGCTTGATTCTTCAATATGGCTCCTGAAATGCAAATTTCAACATTTACTTTCCTTCTTTTAAGAAATGGGAAAAGCCTAAGAAATCTGGGAGAGGCAGGAAACCACACCCGTTCAACTCTCCGCCTGGGCAGAGAGGGCTCTGCCTGGGGATGGAAGGCGCAGCTGCCTGACTAGCCTGGCCTCACCGCCCAGAATGCGCCACAGCCTCCAGCCTCCAGCCTCCGGGGCTCATGTGAGCTTAATTGTCCTTCACACTGGGCTCTGTCACTTTGCTAACTCAATCTTTCACAGGTATTTCCTCAGCCACTTATTATTTTTATAAGAGAGAGGGAAAAAAGGCCACACTGCATTCCTAACCAAAAGTAGCTGTGGATTTTCCATCCTCTCATGACTGCGAAACCGCCCAGAGGCCTCCCTCAGGTCCTCCCCAAAAATTATGTTTCAAGTCCAGCATTAGAGGAAATTCTGAAATGAAGCAAGGCGACTCGTGAAATGAAAATCCGTGTTGGAGCTTGCTGCCAAGCCCCCTTTCTGTGCCAACTGAAGCTTGCTAATAATCTTTTCCGCATCAGAGTTTGTGCTTAGGTCTTGCTCTGTGTTCGGGCCCTCACTGCCTCTGTTCTTAGAGGTACTTTCCAGCCATCTCGGAAATAGCACTCCCTTCCTGTCCCTTCCAATATTTGAGGGGTGAAATATTGTCTTCTAAAATAATAATATTTATTACTGAAAGAAATAAAAGAAGAAGTATGGGGGCTGTTTAACAATTCTTTTAAAAATATAGCCGGGGATAGTGGCTCACCCCTGTAATCCCAGCACTTTGGGAGGCTGAGGCAGGCAGATCACTTGAGGTCATGAGTTCGATACTAGCCCGGCCAACATGGCGAAACCCCGTCTCTACTAAAAATACAAACATTAGCCAGATGTGGTGACGCACGCATATCATCCCGGCTACTCGGGAGGCTGAGGCAGGAGAATCGCTTGAACCCCGGAAGCAGAGGTTGCAGTGAGACGAGATCGCACAAGACTTCGTCTCAAAAAAAAAAAAAAAGAAAAGAATTAATAGATTTCTATTTTTTAGAGTAGCTTCATGTTTACAGAAAATTGAGCAGAGAATACAGAATCCTCCCATCCCTGGGGTCCTCTGCTGCCTGCGTCGTGCCCTGGCGTGACACATCTGTGACAGGTGATGCGCCAATACTGACCGCTGTTGTTTACTAAAGTCCATAGCTTACATCAGGGTTGGCTCCTTGTGTTGTATAGTTCTGCAGGCCTTGCCCAGTCCATAGTGACATGTATCCACCATTTGGGTAACATACAAGATGGTTGCCTTGTCCTCAAATTCCCCCATGCTCCATCCATTCATCGCTCCATCCCCCGAGCCCCTGACAACCGCTGATCTTTTTAATGTCTCTATAGTTTTATCTTTCGCAGAAACCCACATAGCTGGAATCATGGACTTTTCAGACTGCTTCTTTCACTCAGTAATGTGTATTTGGGGTACTTTCCTGTCTTTTCCTGATGACGGCTCATTTCTTTGTAATGCTGGATAATATTCCACTGTGTGGAACGACCAAAGTTTGTTTATCCATTCACCTACCCAAGGTCATCTGGTTGCTTTCAGTTTGGAGTAATTATAAATAAAGCTGCTATAAACATTATTTTGCAAATTTTTATATGGAAAGAAATTTTTAACAATTTTTAAAATCAAAATATTATAGTAGATGGTGCTTCTGACATTACTACTCTTGTGATATATTGATATTGCTAAGATTAGGTTGTCAGACCTGAACATAAATGTGGTGGTCGCTAGTAACTGATGCATGTTTGAAAGATCACACACACTCACATGGGCACGTGGTTTGGTTCCAGACATGCAGAGTTTAAAATCTACCTACTGGTAGGCAGCCCTCAGCTTCCTAAAGTCCATCAGTTAGGAACGCTAAACCCAAGTGACAGAGCCGAAGACAGGGTTAGGGTTTCTTTTGCTAAGATTAACATGATGGGACGGAAGCAGCTGCCCGCATTGCCATCCAAGGCACAGGGTCACCCCATCCTCCCTCTCCACCAACCATGCCGTC